CAGTCCCACCAATGTGCGAGTGCTGTAATATCTTTGAAACTCGAGGCAGGTGCTTCCAGGGGCGGCGTGGGGAGTGCACGGCCTGGTAACCGCTGCAGTGGGCAGTTATTTTGGTTACTCTGTTGAATTGCTGAACTCCAATTTACTGCTCCGCGGCCTGATCAGTTGACCTCTGCTACTGTGATTCCCAACATGCTTTTATGCAGTGCATGATGTGATAAGCAGAGCCTGCCCGGAACCTGAACTAGTATCCGTAAGTGCCCGCTGTATTCCAGGTCTTGTTTATGAGGACCAAGGGTAGCTGGTGGAAAGGGAGAATTACACAAACGCTATCCTCACTAGTTTTCAGCATGGCCTCTTATTACCAGTTGTGACAAACTGAAAGTTTTCATAATGTTTCGCTGACGTGTGAAAAGTTTGTCCAGATTAAAAATCACATTCTGTGTGACTTTAGCTCACTTCATTTTAACATTTTTCCATTTTACTCCTCATTGGTGTTTCACTTGGTATTTTAATTTTCATGATAAATGACTTTTTTTTTTTTTAGTCTCTGGAGTGAGTGGCATCTCCTCTGAGCTCAACTTTTGCTTTTAAAAGGTAGAGGATGTGGTGGATTATGGTGTCTACCTGCAAAGCAGTGGGCGTGTGGTGCTATATGACTAGTGGTTCCCTTACTACTGAGTGGTCATCAGCAGTTCCCACATTTTTTTTCTCTCCTTGCCCTGCTCTTTCAAATTTTGTTTCTTAGTTCCTTCCCCCCACCCTCCCTTGTTGCAGACCTTTGAAAATCTGGAACATCTACCTCAACTTTACAGTTGTGCTGGAATCACAGATTTTTATGCCAACTTTTTGACCTAGTCACAGTTAAATGATCCATCAGCAGCTACATGCACAAGCTGAAAAAAGATCTGCATTGTGTCTTTCTGATTGTGGCTGAAATGTACCATGTTGTAATATGCAGTAGTTACTCTTTGGAAAGATACTTGTGGTTTTTTGGTTTGTTTTCATAACTTTCCAAAGCTAATGGTTTTGTTTTGTTGTTTTGTCTTTCCCCCTCAAACTGCTCCTGCAACCTTCCCAATATTCCTGATTTATGCATCCTGACTACAGTTGTCTCTTCAGTATTCCCAGGGAAAAACTGCAGAGGGTTGCTTATTAAAACCAAGGCTCAGATAAGCCTGTAAATAGCCTGATGTGAAATCTATGCTCTTCCTGTCTTTCTTGTAAGCATCAAGCTTTAGACTGTCTGTAGGGTATTTGACAAAATGTTCCTTGGCATTTTCATCCCTTGAACTTTTTTGAGCGTGCTCCTCACTCTGTGCGCACAAACCTGCGGCGAGGCCCGCGCAGGCTTTGGGCTCCCCGCGCGGCCCGGAGGGCGGCCGGGCCTGCTTAGCGCGTCCCGCAGCTGCCGAGCGCGGGCGCTGCCCTTGTGTAAGCCGTGGCCTAGTGCTGTGTGCTCTATGATAACAAGGAACGAACAGCTTATTAAGTTACCCAGAGGAAAAAAAATCTGGATTTGAAGTGTGTCAGACCGGATCCCGCGGTGTAGCTGTGTGTGTGCCTAAGGTGTGAGAGTGGAGGGTGGTGTCAGTAGCCCGTGCCCTCTCCTCAGACGTTCCCAGCAAAAAGCAGCTGCAAAAGGACCAGCTCATGGGCTTTGAAGGCACCAGTCAGTTCAGTCAGCTGGGTGGATTGTGCGCTTGAAGAGGTGACTGACTTAAAAACAGAACAGAAGCAGTGTTTTCACTGGTCTGTGGTAACAAGGTAACTTGCGTTATTTTACAGCTGTCTTGGGACTGAGGCCCAACACGAGAGCCTCAGGATCTGTTCTCCAGGCCCACAGGAGCTTTGCTACTGCAGCCTCCGCCTTGCCTGGCCAGTGAGGTCACTGGAAAAGCAGCTCCACAAGCATTGGAACTAGTGACTGCCCCTTTCATGTGGCTGAGGCTCTTGTGGTTGCGTCCTCTTTGGCAAAATCCATGGGGAGTGCTCCGCCTCGAGATTCCCTGCACTAGGGCAGTTTGCAGGAGTTCTTTGAAATATCTTTTTTTTTTCCTGCTGTCCAAGCGGATGGAAGCTTGCCTTCCATTTTACCATTCCGCATTTGCAAAATCCTTTTCCACCTAGTCATTTACCTAAATTTATAGGAACAAATCACATCCAAAAATTATTGCTTTGTTACAATTGGCTGATAGTGCCCAATTAAATCAGATTATTTCAAGACATACAATTCACAATGATTTCACAAGGCTAGGAAGCTAGGCTAAAAATAGAGGTAATACTGCCTGGTGTTTGTTTTGGTGCAAATTCACTATGGGACTCGCCTTGGATTGCAGGTGGTGCTGAGGTCCCCCTGAGTTGTTTTTCTTAGGCAACCGCTAAAGTTTATCTGCAATAGTTAATGCTTTCATCTCAAAGCTGTAATGTGACAAGAGAAATTAACATATAAATGTAGAAATTTATAGATACAAATAACTATGTATAATACAGTTATATATAGATAACATAGATATAATAAATATAGGAATTTATCCATAGTAAAACTAAGGCTTTTGTCTCTACGTACATATGTAAAATGGCCTTTTAAAAGTATTCTCTTATATGTTTCCACTATATCTGATTGGAAGTCCTTATGAAAACCCAAAGTAAATACATTGTTTATTACATGCCAAATGGCACCAAGTACTCCAAGAGTTAAGCTAAAGAGTTGTTTTTTATCATGTTATAAGTCTAGGTAAATGATATATTGTAATTTTTTTTTGTAGCACCATTTTTCATACTGTTCTTGATAACTCTTGTTTGTTCATAGCTTAAGGAAAGCAGAGCTGAGGAAAACCTGGTTTTGGGGTTACTAGCTGGCTCTGTGGTTTGGTTTCCTCCTTGCCATGGAAGTATAGAGTGGGTGTCAACTTGTGTCTTTTATCACACTGGCAGGTGAAAGGCAACATAATAAAATGCCCTGGCTTTGATAATAGTTTTATTATTCAAATTTATTTGTTTGGTATCACCCACGTAAATATTAGGAACTAAGAAGTAATTCTTAAAAAGTAATATATTCGGTTGTCCTTGCTTAATGGTCATCCAATCCCTTTTGTCATGGAAGTATGGCTGTAGTGAGTCTGCTGAAAATTACGATTAATATACTGCCATGTAGTCTGATTTTTAGAGTTGTCCAGTGAGAAGTGTAACTTTTGTTGAGTTACTGCAGGTCAACTTTATATGTGGTGCCCAAATGACTTTTTCATTTTGCCATTTGCTAGTAGTTGTATAAAGCAAGATGTGTAGTTTTCTGTAGAGTTGCCTTTTAGGTCAACCATTTGTTTATAAATTTTAAATATTATCTAGTCCAGATGCAGCAGATTTCTTATAATAATGGCAAGATCAATGACTGGGTACAATGCTAGTAGATTTAAAGACAATTTTAGATATATGTTTTTAAAGTTAAAACTAGTTGCATAAATCTGAATACTATTTTGAAATACTATGTTTAAATTGAAAAGCTGCATCACGAAACCCCTTGTTCTAAAGTCCAGACAAAGAAAACCTAGGTGCACAGTGATACAGAACCATAGTAGATGTACAACAAAAATGATGTAAAACAAGAAAAACTCTTGGTTGGCTTTCGTTTTCAAGGGGATATTAGTTCCTCAGCAATGGGAGCTGATGCAAGTTTAGGACCCTGTTCCGCTTACCTTGTCTGTTTCCCTGAGTTGGCCCTGGAAACCGAGCTTTGAGCTTTCTCAGAGTTTCCATACGAAAACTGATGGCATTTTTCTGCTGCATTAGTTTACAGATGGACCAGCTCCCGGCATTTGCTTTGGCAATTGTGTAAGTGCCAGAAGTGACTCAAAAAAAGGCCAGGAATTTGTAGTTGAGATGAAGGGGAGCTCATAATCTTACCAAGTGTGGACTTGGGTTGTCTCATTCTGCCATGGATTTGTACCATTGCTAACTTTAACTACGTGATTAAGGGAGGATGTTACTGTAGACTGTTATGGAATTGGAATCAAAATAATTTGGAAATCTGAAAGAGTACAAAGATAAGAAGGCATTTAGAAAGTGCTACATGTAATGCTGCTGCTGCAGTTTCTGCCAATACTAGTAGCTGTAATAGCTATAAAAGGTCTCATTTGGGTTTGGGAGGCTGCTGTTCTGGACTCCGTTCAGGCACTCACCCTGCAATAAGATGTGCTGTCTGCTGAAATCAAGGATACAGCTCCCGGGGGTAAGTCAGCCACCTGTACTAATTCTTCAGCATCAGGCTATTAAAAAGAGGACTTGTGCTTTGAAGAACATATATGCATTATCTTTTGTTTTGTGTATACACAACCTCTAAATTCTTTTTAAGTATTGATCTGCATTTTTCCTAATGGCTGAAGTAACTGGGGCTATTTAGAAAGGTGCTGTGAGACCCTGTTATTTTTGTGCTGCAAGAAAAAAGTTCTGAGACTAAATGTACTTAATATTAAAATCAGTGGAAAAATACATTGAGTTCTGCTGTGCTTGTTAGAAATTTTGGGAAGGGTGGAGTGCCTTTCCAGGGAAGTTAGATGTTGCCTGCATAGCATGTGCAGTTGGGGCATTGAAAGGAAGACTTACACTGTTGTCTCTGCCACTGATTAAATGAACTTTCTTGTATTTTATTTGTATTTTTTGAGCCTTGGTTGGTTTCAGTTACCTTTTGTTTAAAATTTAGCACTTTTTTTTTTTTCCACGAACAAGTATGTTAAGTGTAAGCTGTTGCTTGTGCTGCTTCCCTAATGACACTCTGACTCTACCTCCTCTCTGTTTTATGTTGCTTACACTTTACTTTGTTGGAAAGCTGCCTGGATGTGTGTGATTAAAAGCTTGGGATAATATATGTGGGTGTGTCAGGAAAGCAGAGAAAGCTGCTGTGACTGGAGTGTATTGATTAGCTTTCTAAACAGCTATTGCAAATATTAAAAAAAAAAAATCTGTTTTTAACGGCCTGGTTTAATTTTGTTTTCTTCAGGGCAGAGTGCAAATCAGAAGATGCCACTTGCAAGGCCTCTGAATCTGAACCTGAGGAATTATCAGATGAAGCAAGTGCTGATACTTTGTATGGAACTTCTCCTCCCAGTACGCCCCGGCAGATGAAACGCATGTCAACAAAGCACCAGAAAAGTAACGTTGGGAGACCTGCTAGCCGTTCCACTCTGAAAGGTAGATATGCTTTTTTGTGGCTTAAAAGACCATAGCATCATAGTAGTAGCTCTGCTTTAGCCAGAGGAGATGCACAGAGATGGAGCTAGGCTCTAGAGGTCATGGTGCCACAAGGGAAGTTCCAACCAGGTCTGTGAGACTGATGAAGCAGTGGCAGATTACCAGGGAGGTCGGGGAGTCTCCAAACTGTGATTTCTGGAGCACAGCTGGATAAGGCCATGAGCAGGCTAGACTGGCTCTGAACTGAGCCCTGCTTTGAGCAGGAGGTTAGGGTTACATGACTACTAAAGGTCATGTAATGTAAGGTCATGTAGATGCCTTCCAACTTTAACTTAACTCTCCCTTTACCTTTGCTGAGATGCAGAATGTTAAGTGCTTGTTGACAGAAGAGTATTTAAAAAAAACCCAAAACTACAGTAGCTACTTTTTTTAAGACAGCCTTCCCATTTCCCCCAGTTTTACTTGTTTTGCTGAGTTTGATGGTACAAAATTTACAAAAGCCATTTTTTAACAAACTGTTCGGTATTTTCATACAAAATGTACTTTGTATAAAAAATATGTCAGACAAGGTTGGTTGCCAAAGTCATTACAGCAGCATGACTGTTACCAGTTGATGTTTTGGAATAGTATTTCATATGATATGATTGTCATAGGGTACATTTAATTAAAGGAATACTTTTTCAAGATAGAGTGCAGAGGAGAAGGTAAATGGTTTAGCGTAAATTTCAGGAATACAGTGTGTTCTCCAGTGAGCAGAGTTGTCTAGTGCATGGTCATGATCAATGAAAGGCTTGTACAAATATCTTCCAAAGCTCTTGCTTCCATTTCAGGCAACTTCTGAATAAAGTTACTGTTTCAACTGTGTTCCCCAAAATACCTTCTACTTAGACTAAATTTAAAAGAAATGTCATGATACTTGCCAGTTTGCTATGTAGTTGGAATCATTAAGCTCCCTTTTTACTGTCTCTTAATTGTGCCTTTTGGCAAAGTTAAGCTCTTCTAGTGGAACATTAGCCTTGTTTGTTTCTGGATATGGTAGTTGTTTGAAAACTTTTCTTGTTTCAGTGACTTTCTTTTCAACTCTGTGGTTGGAAAAAAAAGAGGTTTCTAAAATGAGGAAACAGAGTGATGTTAAAAAAAAAATCATTTCTTTAGTCTCCACTGCTGAGCATATGTGAAAGATTGATACCTTTATGAGAAAGAAGAAGTTGTCTTTTACATAACTTATAGATTTTAAGTTTTTGGAGCAAGGGCTTTCCTCTTATGAGGCAAGTGGTAATGCTTCTGGGACAATAAAATCCGGGTTTAGTTATGCGAGTATATCTTAAATGTATGGATGCATTTTTATTTTTGGCTCTTTAGCTGTATAGATTTGATTTTGGAACAGGAATGACTATCTCTTACCAGTATAGTTTAGTTCTGGGGAAAAAAAAAGCATATTTTCTAGTCCGGCAGAAGTTGGCTAGTGTGGTGTAGTGTTAAGTATCTTTTCTGGAAAGAACATAATTCATCTTGTTTAACTTGGTTTTACTCTGTATCAAGCAAACAAGCAGGAAAAGAAAAAAAACATGGGCTTGTTAATTCACCTTATGTGTATGCAGATCCCTAATGGATAGTGGTACTTGAAATAGAATCGGAATTAATCTGGTGCTGTCTTTGAGAAGGAGGAAGGTTGGAAACGGAGAAGTTGCCTTAGGTAAACATGAAATCCTAGGAAGCTGTTCTGGCCATTTGGCTGGTTAGTGGGACTTATTCACCACTAACTTGCAGGCACTAAAGGAATTCTAATTTTCTGTTTTCAGTCTTCTGATTTTGACCTGCTCTACAACTTGTGATTCTACAAGATTGTGTAAATCTATTTTTGGCACTTGCAGAGAGCCAGCACGTGCATAAACAGATGTTCTGCAACATTATCAACCTAACTCAACCTTGAAGAACCACATCTGAGCAAATAAAATATTATCTTCAAGTATAAAAATCCAGTGAATTGTAATTGAAGCTTGAAGTTATAGATTTATATTAAAAAAACATTTTAAAACATATACTCTTTATCTCCCACCACCACCTTCCCATTACTATAGGTCAAAAAAGTCCTTTGTACTCCTAGCCTCATGAAACCCTTATACTGATCTTATGCTTAAGTAGAAGCATGGACTAACCCATCATTTTTGTGGCTTTATAGCTCTGTTTATATTTTTAGATGCTTTTCTTTCCTCCACTTACACACTTAGGAAAAAAAAAAAAGAGAAATTGAACCACTATACAGTAAAAACAATAAAACTGATTCGATATATGTTTTATGAAACACCAAGGTTTGTAAGCGCAAACATTAAGAAAGCATTCTTAATGAAAAAGAAGTCCAAGAACATCTGTCTTTGGTGCATTTCAGAATTCTGTGCACTTATACAAAGAAAGAAATTATAGCCGGTGCAGTTGTTATCAGCTTGTTTGATGAATGCTAATAATTTCTTAAAAAGTTGAAGAGAACATACTGCATCTTCCTGCTGTGTCCAAAGAATGGGCTAGTTTGAACATAGAGGAGCTTTTAACAGAACTCAGCCTTCCTCCTTCCTGCTCATGTAAAAGAGGCTGGGAACAGGAAAGAGGAGAGGCTGCAAAGAAAAACAGAATGAGGAGATTTTGTGCCTCAGTAGTGACAATTATTCCAGAGAAGTCTCTTTTTTTGTTTTCCTGAAAGAAAAAAAGCAGAAGTTTTTGTTGATTAAATAAGTAGGGTTGCTTCTGTTACCAGGTATTTTATCAGTCTATAAAATAACAGAGGCCTCTTCAGGGAGGGAAATGTAGTTTCTTCGGTTTTAAAGCATCTGACTTCAACCACCATCCTCAAAATATAGTAAGAAAGCAAATTACCTATTTAATATCAGTCATAGAAATTCATTTGGAGTCAAGGATGAGGAATCGGGAAAATGTTCCTCGTTCGGCTTTGAATGAAGTGGATGATGTGTGAAATTGAGATATGCAAGAAGGACCTGCTGAGGGTGCAAAGTGCAGTAGGGAATGATCTGAAAACCATGGTGGAGCAGAGCTCTGGAGAAGAGGCTGCTGTCAAAAGAAACAAGAATTGTGGAGGAGATTAGGAGAATTATAACCAAAGGGAGTATTTTAAATTGAGATTAATTGATTATCATTTTTGGGGAGTGGTGCAGTTACGTATCTCTGAATAGCAGAGGTAGTATTTCGGCTGGTAGTATGTGAAACATGGACTATGAGCAATGAAATGGGCGCATACTCAGCTTTTTAAACTTATCTCTCAGTCTTCTGTTGAAGGATCTGAAGGAAATATTGAAAGAGAATAACATATTAAAATTATAAATGTTCAAAATGGTTTAAAGGACCTCCTGGTAACTGCAGTTCAGTGAATTAAGTTCAGAAAATGATCTTTGAATTTGCATGGGGTTCTGATTATTTATATAGTGTCATCAAAATGCTGTTAAAAGGCAATGTGTTTCTAATCAACCTCAGATGTGGCTTGTTTGTTTGTTTGGCTTTTGTGTCTGCCAACCTTCATTTTCTTTCTTTTGTTCAAAGCTTATACTCTTGGTGCTCATCTATCTTAGCCCCTTGGGCTGTTGCCCTCTCCTAGCAATTCCAGCTGGCATGAAATTCAAGCTAATATGCTCAACAGTGACTTGAAGCTTGTGTCCTGCCTCTTACAGTGCCAGCAAACTCTGACTAGATAGTAAACAGAGAGGGTTAGATACTGCTATGTGACACACTACTGTTTGAGCAGATTAGTATAAAACAGATGATGATAGTGAATTCTATAGCAGACTTCATAGAATCACTGGTAGGTCTCTCTATCCAGGAACAAAACTGTGTTTGGGTCAGATTTTTGTCTGTTGTCTTATACTTGGTAGCTTTTCAGAGAAAGATGTGAGAATTGCTGGGATAAAAGTAGTGAAGAGGTATTAATCAAGTTTATTATTACAAAAAGCAGTTACTCTGTTAAAATTGTTGAGTTGAACTGTTACTTTGATTCTGGATAGTGACATACATACCTAACATCTTAATATTATCAGTGTTTTCTGCATTGTAAGACAAATGGAGAACTTCAAACCTTTTAATTTTAAAAAGGTGTATTTCAAGCGACAGGCTTCTAAAGTAAGCAAAATGTTTAAGAACTAACTTGTCACGTCATAGTTGCCTATGTAGGTGTATTATAGATTTGCAAAAGTCCAAGAAACAGCTTGAATGGTGTGGATGATAGCTAGATGTAGTACTGATAAGTTAATAGACTGTTACGCTGTTTGTGAACCCTTTGCAGGTAGAAGTGAATCAGCCTTGCAGTAGGTTCGCTACTGCTTTGGGGTGGAAAATTTGAGATGGCCTCTCTTTTATTTCCCCCCTAGACTATTTGGTAAGTTAATAGAAGCTTCTGTATAGCAGTACAGTTCCAAGTTACTTGAGCTGCAAGTACTCAGTGTTTTCGTAAGTCAGATGCGAAGTTGAGCAGTGGTCTTTTAGTGGGTACTTTCTTGAAAAGCTTGGTTAAGGAACATACTTGACACAGTTTATGTACTCGAACCAGAATCAGAAATTGAACCACATTTCCTAAAATGGCCATCATTTACCTTAACCATGAGATTCTTTTCCCTTCTGCAAATCCTTGCTTCTTCTGTACCAGGCATTATATAGCAGTGTGCAGTGTTCTCAAAGTGCAAGTTACAGGCCTGTTCCTCATGCCTTCCTTAGGTTATTTTCTTTCTTTAGACTTTCAATGAAAAGTCTCTCCTCTTCCTTCTTCTGGGACTTGGTGATTCTTCTTTCAAAAAATACACTCTTCAGAAAATATCTTCCTCCTTCTCAGAGTTAAATGCCAAAGTATACGTTATAGCCTGTCCCAGTCCTACACAACTGTGGAAGAAATTATATTATATATATATATTTCTGGATGTGGGAAGTAGGAGGCGATGTGTTAGATCACACACTATTTGTTTATTGCTCATTAGCAGCCGAAAATGGGGTTTGTAACTAAGATTAAGATTTTAAGATTAATGTATGGATTAATGTAACCAGTGTTTCTTATCCAGTTTAGTATTAGTGAACTAGTTTTTCTAAAGAAAAAAGTCTATTGAAATGCTATACAGTAGGATAGTTGTAATACATACTCGTATCTCAAATGTTATATCACAGAAACTCGTATGGATTTGTGATACTGAAAAAAACTTAAATTTGCACACATTCACCCTATGAGTTTGCCAGGCTTGAGCAAACTTCAGTTTGTGAGCAAAGGCTTTCTAGGTGTTTTGGAAACCTTCCATTCTCTGCAACATCCTGGGCTTTGTGTTTCTGGCCCCGACCCAGAAGGCTGAGCAGTGCTTTAGTGCTCTTCGAGCTGCTCGGAGAAAGAAGCTGCCGGGGAACGTGCAGAGGCAGCGCGAGCTGGAGCTGCCGACAGTGAGGGGGCACTGAGAGGAAGGCCCGGGGAGCAGGATCGGCCGCTGCTCGCGGCTGGGGGGACACGTGCGGCGGGTAGACGGGGCGGGAGTTGGAGGGGATGGGGAAGCTGCATGGAGAATGTAAGCTGAAGGGAAGCTAAGCAAAGCAGCAGCAGCCGATCAGGTTAGGAATGGTGTAGGATGGTTTTCAAGATTTGAGTTTGTTGGAAATCCTTGCTGGATTCTTGCGGGTTTTGTTTTTGACAGCATGATGCTGTAGGGGTGAGGTTGCCATGGCTGTAACAGCCCAACCTAATAGTCGGAGGGTTGTGCTGCAGCCTGGAGAGAGCTCCTTGAACCCCAGCCTTGGGCAGCCCAAGGCCAGCTGGGAAGCTGGGGGGGTTTTCTGGGGTTCCTGATAAGTTTAGGAGAAAGAGGGGGAAATGCAGGTTTCGTGGGAGAGACTCCATATGTGCAGGCTTGCTTGCCTTAACTGGCCTAGTCTCTGATGCCAGCCAGGGTGAAACTGAAATCCCCATTTCAGCCGGACTTGCTTTCCGCTGTCCTCCTAAAACTCAAGGCTAAAATCAAGATTAGAGAGATTAAATAGAGCCTAGAACAGAATTCCACATTGCACATGGCTGGAGGCCTGTTTGTTTGTTTTGTTTTTTTGCTGTTTTCCCACCTGTTCTTTCCTATAGTCCAGCTGCAAAGCTGGGGACCTGCGTTGCCAGCTGCATGGGGTGCTTTTCTTTCAGTAAAAGGAGTGTGGGGGACTGATGATCTGAACCTTTGTTTTCACTGGTATTATTCATTCCTAGGATTGATGAAGCTGTATTGACTTAATTTCTTCATACATTTGCTCCTTTTTTCTTCTGATGATTAAGTCCAGATGCAGCTCAAATGATTCACACCTCATGCTTCTGTTGTCAAAAGTTGCTAAGGTCTGACACACAGATTCTGGTGGCATTTTCTCTTTTCAGTTGCCCTTAAGGCGGTTGAATATTTCTATCTTAGCATTCTTCAGTGAGCCCATGAAAGTAAATGACTCTACAATTCATTCGTAACATTTCCTGTACTGGCGCAATTTTCTTAAGATATCTGTAACAGTCTAGAAATCATATGCAAACATTCTAAAATGTAGGATTTGTTTGTTTTTCCCTGTTCATTACGCAAATCATACAGAACAGATCTGGGAGGAAAGTGCCCTATCCAGTTAGCTCTCCACTCTGCAACCTTTCTACAACTCTTCTGCGTGCAAACGTTTTAGCTTTTGACTTACTTGCACCACATGCCCCAGTTCTTTTCTAGAGAACTGCTCTCTTATCTGCTTAGAGATTGAGTTGAATCTTGTAATGAAAGAAACTGATTTCTATATCACTTAGAGTACTGCGGGCATTGGAAGATATGTGATGAATAAAACAAGATTGAAGGGTGATTTGATACTTAATAAGATAGTGAAGAGTATGGTCTGATGACAGGATTCTGTCATCAGAATTTTCATGACTCTAAGCCAGTAATGCAAGTGAAATTTCATGTGTCATCATTAATAATTTACAATATTTCATGTTTTCCTAGAGCCAGACTAGAGACTGGGGGCTTTGGTGCGCAGAAGGGTTGTGCATCCAAGGTGCTTTTGAAGTCGAGGGGCTTTTGAACACAGAGCTACATGTTCTGAAATGCCAAGCAGTAGCTCTTACCATTTTGGTATCCATGGATGTGGTGACTTTACAGGTCTTTCTCTATCATGATTTTCAGTATGTAGAATCACAACAGTTTTACACTGAACAGTCTCATTTTGCAAACAAGCTTATTTCTTGTATTAATGGATATTATAGTGAGGAAGACAGTAGTGAAGACCCTATCGAAGTTGTTATCTCTTCCTTTAGAAGAGTGGTAAGTGAGCTATGTGCAGCAATGGTGCTTAAACTCGCTAGCAAGTGGTGAAAAGAAGGCAGAGTTTTCAGCAATCATTCTGTGCGTTTGTTTTTTTCCCCGTTTCTTGTGTTACTCAGGGGCACTATGGGGGGAAGGAAGAATGTGACCGTGGAGGATGTTGTGTCCCTGCTGCTGGTTGCCTGCAGATGCTTCTCTCCGGCCTCTCACCACTTCCTTCTGAGAGCGGGAAGCGCAGTCTGAGCAGCAGCCAGCTGTAGCTTCCTGACCCAACAGGCTATGTCTGCGTTGCAGGGGTTGTGTTAGCATTAAAGGAAGAGGAGTAGGTGGCCTGTGCTAGTAGGCAGCAAAAGGCTGCTATGTGGTTTAGCGAGAAGGCCCCGGCTGCTTGTGGGGAGAAGGGAGAAGCAGCCTGCTGTGTTAAGGCCATGTATTTGATGGAGACCAGGATGTTTCCCAGACCTAAGGTCAAGCCCTGACTGGTGCTAAGGTTGGATTTGCTGAGCTAAATAGTTTCGGAACCCATATATGCTGCAGTTCTTAGGAAATTGCACATGCACTTTAAGCACGGGATTTCTTTAATTCTAGCTGTCTGACTTGGAAACCTTAATAATATTCTGCAATTTGAGTTTTTAGTTGTGAGGCTGTTGATGAACATATAGGAAGTGACCTTGGAAACCATTCTTTACCTTTTAATCATCCAGACTTTGGTGCAGGTGATATATTCAAAATAGAGAAAGGTCTCCGAGGTCACCTCTACTGAAGAGGGTAAAGCAGGAGGAGAGAATACTGTACTTTGCTCTACTGATTCAGCTAGATGCCTGGTAATTTATGAGACTGTTTTACACTTGCAAATTTTGTGTTATTGGCATGAAGAAACATTATATTCACAGTCCGAGAAATGAGATCTGGAGCTGACTGAATCTGAGGCTTGCTGTTGTTGTTTTCTCTTGTTGCTAAGCTCCCCTTTTTTTCTCTCTTGCAGAAAAAATGGGTTTGCCAACTCAGTCTGCGCATAAAGACAATGGGAAGACCATTGAGAATGTGGAAGAGCACAGCTACAAGCAAGGGAAAAAGAACCGAGCCACCCTAAGGACGACAGAACGAGATCACAAGAAAAACGTGCAGTGCTCCTTTATGTTAGACTCAGTCGGGGGGTCTTTGCCAAAAAAGCCTATTGCAGATGTTGATCTCAATAAGCCTTACCTCAGCCTTGGCTGCAGCAACGCTAAGCTGCCCGTCTCGGTGCCCATGCCAATAGCCAGGACTGCACGCCAGACTTCTAGGACTGACTGCCCGGCAGACCGCTTAAAATTCTTTGAAACCCTGCGGCTTTTGTTAAAACTTACCTCAGTGTCAAAGAAAAAAGACAGGGAGCAAAGAGGGCAGGAAAACACCTCTTCTGTCTGGCTGAACCGATCCAATGAACTGATCTGGCTGGAGCTGCAAGCTTGGCACGCTGGCCGGAGCATTAATGACCAAGACCTCTATCTCTACGCGGCTCGCCAAGCTATCCCTGACATTATCAATGAAATCCTCACCTTCAAAGTGAACTATGGAAGCTTCTCTTGTGTCAAAAATGGAGCCAGTCTCAACGGTACTGCAGGAGAAGGAGTTTGCAAAGCAACCCGTGGAACGAGTGCTTTGGGTTATTCAAATTACCACGAACACCTCCATCGCCAGCGGGTCTCGTTTGAGCAAGTAAAGCGGATAATGGAGCTGCTGGAGTACATAGAAGCACTTTATCCCTCTCTGCAGGCTCTTCAGAAGGACTATGAAAAGTATGCTGCAAAGGACTTCCAGGACAGAGTGCAGGCACTCTGTCTGTGGCTAAACATTACAAAAGACTTAAATCAAAAACTAAGGATTATGGGAACTGTTTTGGGCATCAAAAATCTTTCTGACATTGGCTGGCCAGTGTTTGAAATTCCTTCTCCTGGACCGTCCAAGGACAACGATCCAGGGGATAAGGAAGTTGATAGGGAAACCGAAGTAAAGGAATCCTCAGGAACATGCACAGGGGATAATGATGGTGCAGAACAAATCTCTGAGGAAAACGTTGAGGAACTTAGACAAGCCATCAAGAACAATTTTACTAATAAGCCAAATTTTGACTTTCAGGACCATTTTTCAAGGAAGCTTGATAGGCTTGAATCTGGGGATGACTCTGCCTCTTGGATTATTCCAGAATGCAGCGCTGAGGCAGGCTGCAGCAAACACTCTTTGACCTCTATTTACAGGCCATTTGTAGACAAAGCACTGAAGCAAATGGGGTTGAGGAAGCTAATTTTAAGACTGCACAAGCTCATGCATGGGTCCTTGCAAAGGGCCCGTATGGCGCTGGTAAGGAGCGATCACCCGCTGGAGGTAGGTAAACGTGGAGCAGGGCTGCCTCCGCTTGCAGTGTTGCCTCTCCTCGAAACTAGAGGCACTGGGATCTTGTAAAAATACCAGTTGCTTTGTCGGGTTGTGAAAGAAAGACTGTATGTTATGAGGAAGAGCTGTCCTGTCCTGCTGCTGCGAAGTAAATCTGTCGTTTGACCTCAGCTGGAATTGGCATGAAGCACAAACCAGCTCTCTGCTCAGTTTCCTAGATTAAATTGCATTTTTATGATAGCATCTTTATTCATTAAATCTTTTGACAGCTGAAGCTGCAAGTCAGACAAATTGAAATGGAAAGTTAGACACAAATGTTTAATCATGAGAACAGATTACTAGGGAAATGGTGTGTTTTCCATGTCTTCAAGACTGGCTATCTCTCTGCAATATAGCCTTTAGCAAAACATCCTTTTCCTGGTCTAAATAAGTGAAATACTGTGATAACACAATAATGATGGTTTTTTCAGCTACCTTGTATGGTTTTTAATTTTTTTCCCCCTTCTTCAGTTGATGTTACATGCTTAATTTAGAATAACTGTGTTACTAAAAATTATGAAGTAAGCTATAAACCAAGGACAGGAGCTGAAGCTTCATGTGGTAATCTGTGGTCACGAGCCTTTTAAAGATTAAATACTTTTTTCTAAACATAAATTGTCAGGGAATTTTATATTAGGAAGAAATAGTGATAAGGATCATTTGTTCTCCCTGATAAAATGGTGTTGTGTCGGGTTAACCATGGATTCTAGATAAAGAGATTTCTTAGGCTGTTATGCCAGGTGTAACACAGATGCCTTTTGTGTTTTTTGACACATTGCTGATTTCTGTTTTGACATCTTATTTGCAAAAGGAGAGAGAAAGTTTGTCTCCTTTGGGGTTGATCTTTAGGCTGAACAAATTCATATTTACAATTTTTTTAAAACGCTTTTGGAGATTATTGTTTAAAAAAAAAAGTGTTGAATTTTCATTTTTCTTTCACTGATATCAACTTGTTCCAGGAAACTTTGCATTTAAAAAAGAGTTTATTTGTATATAGCCATGTATATGAGCAAAATTTGAAGGTAACCATTACAGTAAGAAGAGAAAAGAAAAAAAAATCATATATTGGGGTAAAAGTTTAGCTTAATACACAGGTAGAAATACCTTTAAAAATGAGGGGAAATAAAACATAATTTGAGGGAATTAAAATGATTTTATGTACATTTTTGAAATTGATAAATACCCTAAATGTGTGGACATCAGTAAAGGTTCCTAAAAATAGTTTGTGAAACCCCAGTAACTCAAGGCTTTGCTGAGGATTCACAGAAATGAACCTTTTGGAAAGTGAGCAGTGCGTGACCCGTGCGAGATGTAAGGATCGTCTCATCCTCCTCCTCTACCTGCTTGACTTCTTAGAATGATAGTTTTCGGGAATTACTGTTTTCTCTCTTCTGGCGTCCTCTTTTGAAAAATCTCATCATGTCTAAAGGTGAATGTTGCAGAAAGAAAGGGTGGCAATCTTCTTCATCTGACCTAACACAAAAAGAATGCTGCCCAAAATCAAAAACGTTATTTAAATGTGATACCTACTGTAGCAACAGATGATATCAAACTGAAATAGGAGAAGATCCGGTTTCGAATTGTTTGTCATGTGCACGAGACAATACTTTGCGTGTAGCTTTTTTTTTTCCCTGTACAGTTAAAACTTATATTTGAATTAAGTCAGAGCTACTAGTGTTTAGTTTATGTTTTATTATATATTGACTGTGTGCTTTTATGTGTACATATTTTAAAAATTGTGAACATATCTTCACTTCTGTTATTCCTTAACTGTTAATTTTCGTCTAAAATGCTCTTTCTGAATTCTCCCTGTATTTAAAATGCTAATGTCATTTTAACTGTATATTTATACAAATAGATTTTTAGAAAACTTTTTAATCTAAGTTTTATTCATGATAATTGGGCTCTAGTATTTGAACATGGCTTGTGTGCAAGCAAGAGTCTGCTTTCTTTAGAAGTTCTGTGGCTTAAGTCTTAAGAAAATAGCTAATGTTTATTTTAAATTACGAAATTAGATACATATCAAATTTACTAGACCAATATCTAAAGCACTTGCACCCTATTTTTGGTTCATTTAACTAACTATGCTTTTGATAATTAATTGCTGGGGTTTGTTTTCTTAGTGTTGATATAGAGATGTTTTGTAGGCCCTTAGCTGGTTTAAAATAGGGTCTGCTGAGAATTAAGTTTAGTCAAGCTGCATAATAAAAAGGGTCAAGGAACTAAAATTAAGCCTTTGTGTGTCAAAGTCTCGTGTAGGTTTTTTAGAGTGTAGTATTTTCATAATTTATTACTAATTAATATCTCTCATTCAAAAATCTATAGACTATTCATCAGAGAGCAGGAGATTGTTTTTGTAAGGAGGTGAGCTAGAAGGAAGGCCGATTAGTATCTCTTAAGAGATACTGTACTCTAGATCAACTGGTGATTAAAATTAAACTATATCAGCCATAGTGCAGATCCATATTTGTGCATATTTGCTGTCTTTGCATACTGAGCTTATGCCTTTATAAACCAGTTAAGAATCTGCAGCTCATAAGACATTTTGTGCCAACATTAGATACAATGAATGTGCCATTCCATCCTCTGCAGCAGTGTTGAGCATCACAATATTAGCAAATAAAAGTACTTAGAACACTGGCTTTGTCAGGAAATGTAATTTGGGTCTTTAGAGAATTCAGAGCATGTATGATGCCGTAGGCACAAAATGTCAAAAATGTGTATGTAGGTGTAAAGGAATAATCTCTTCTTTTATTTCCTGTTAGATACTGAGGTTAAGTATGGTTACTGTACGTGAAAGTACTGTAGCTTTTTGGGCAGCATTTTATCATTTGATCTAATTTCTGTTAATCTGTTTTCCTCTCCTTTGAAGCGATGCTAGTTAGATTTGGCACTGAAAAAAAAAGATAGTAAATGCTAATTATGTCTATTAATATGTCAGTGATGGATATTCAGTTGTTACAGATAGCAAGCATGAATTAAGAATTGGGCTAAAGCAAATTCAATCTTGGATGAAAGAGCCCAAACCTTACAGGCATGTTTTTTTCCTAGGTAATGTGCAATGAATTGTTTTCTTTTTCATTAAACTCTGCATATATTAAAGTCCAAATTTTCTGAAAATTGATATTAAAATAGATTAAAACCCTCAGTACCTGCATGTATATCATTGATTAGGACATTATAACTTAATATGTAGTTTAGATAGCTACAGTATATAGTTATTTTCTATAATTTGAAAGTATCTTTGAATGAAATATAAGTTTATTAATTGGAAGAGAAATCAAATAGATCACTTTTGACTTTGTTTTCCTTCATAATTCCAGGCTCAGTTTCTTGCATCTACCAGAGTTTGTAAACTATTTTTTTTCAGTTGTTTTGGTGAATTTAGCTATTAACTCTTGAACATTGCATCACTTTGCAATGTGAATTTTTAGAGTAGTTGAAAAACAAAAAGTTGCTGGTGCAGTACATGCTTGAAATGAGTTGGCATAGCCCAGTGCAAACTTGTTTTTCTAGACATGGTCATTGGTGGAAGGCCTGTTGCTTGTGTGTGTATTCTTTTTTGTTTGATTATTTTTTTAAAATGCATTTGGCGAAATTCTCAGGTATTTTATCTTAGAATGACCAGAATATATGTTCTAGTATATTAGGCCTAACTTGTGTATTCATGATAATCTCATACAGCAGTTTCTTCCTATACATGAAAGCCTCTTCTGCTTTAATGGATGCTTTAATCATCTTAAGGAAAACACGAAGTAAGGGATGTTGTTCACTCTGAAGGGTCCACGATTGCTCTCCTCAAGCCTGGAGATCCTTTAAAAAAATTACCATGTTAGCCTTAAAAAAAAAAAAAAAAAAAAAAATCTGTTGTGGCTGATTGGTCAGTTAACTAAAAAGCCCTGTCTTTCAAGGCTGAAGCTTTTAAGTCATAAGGCTGAGAAAAAGCCTGTTTCTTTTAAAGATAATCTTTTGTGCATGCTACTTAAGCCCTGAATCTTGAAGTTAAGGATTCCCTTTACGATTCGTATTTCTTGTTGCAGTTTTCAGAATTTCCAGATCCCATGTTGTGTTCAGATTATGTGCAGTTATTAAATTCCCCGCCTTCCTGTGAGAAAAAATGCAGCACTGTATCATGGGAGGAGCTGAAATCGATGGACTTGCCCTCTTTCGAACCTGCCTTCTTGGTCCTTTGCCGAGTCCTACTCAACGTTATCCATGAATGTCTCAAGCTAAGGTTGGAACAGAGACCTGCCGGGGAACCCTCTCTATTGAGCATTAAGCAGGTTTGCCTCTACTGTTCTTTGTTTGTATTGTTTGAAATTACTTTGTCTTTTTGATTTGGTAGAGTGATCTGTTTAAAGCGAATTTGCCTCAGAAATGGCAGTATGTAATTTTAAAAATAATTTATAGAGTCATGTATTTCATATGGAGATTTGTTTTTTTTTACAAAGTCAACAACTGACATTCCCATAGTAAAATACTTCTCATAAATCTTCAAGCTGCTGTCAAGTGCACTGATGATTGAGGCCATCATTGCCCAATCTTGCCCAATTTAAAGCTTTTAAACTATCCAGTAAGTGGCTTGCTGGGGCCCTGTGTAGAAGACAAAATCTGAAACATCTGCCTCCATCTCTGTTTACAATTATGTGGCAAATAGCACGATGGCAATTAAATAACCCTTGAAAACTAGTGCAGTTCTTTCCTGGAGTGACTGTGTTCATCTCTAAAAGCTGTAGAATTTAGATAGTGACTTGACATATTTAGACAAATTAAACTTTCAAATCTCAGAGACAATGTAAGAGTAATGTCTTTACTGATTGCAGTTTGGGGGTTTTTCTCTTGCAGCTAGTAAGAGAGTGTAAAGAGGTCCTGAAGGGTGGCCTGTTAATGAAGCAATATTATCAGTTTATGTTACGTGAGGTGTTAGATGACTTGCAAAAGATTGACTGCAACATTGATTCTTTTGAAGAGGACCTGCATAAAATGTTAATGGTAAGCTTCAAAATAGCCAACATGTATGGAGTTCCGATAAGTTTATTATTCTGACTATCTATTGCCCCTGTCAGACATAGCTCTTGAGAATATTTTTCATTGTGCCATATTTCCTTCATTTTATTTTTTTAATGTCTGTAAGGTCTTTGCCATTTTAAACAAGCAACATGTTAGCCTATAAAGACAATATTGATTCTTTTTTACTGTATTGCGGTCCAATATACTTGTAAATTGTCTGTATTTTATAAAACAATTCATGAGTAGAACTGTAAATTGTACAGATTTAAATAGTTTAACCTGTTATTAAAAAATGAAATACTATTTTTGATTAATATCATGTTTTAATACTTTGATATTGCATTAATTCAGGAATGATGCCTTGTTTTTAGTAAACATTTGCTATTGCAATAAGCTAAACCCTAAGAGATATTTTAAAGACAAGCTGTTGGCCTCTAGTAGATGTTTAATTGTTTTTTGTGGTTTTAGTTTAAGATCATATTCCTCTGATGAGACCGAATCATTTTTTATCTCCTGAGTTGCTTGGGTTTTGTCCTCGTTAGTCAGACAAAGTACTCAAGGCTCAACACCTGGTTGGTGGTGTTCCCTAAGCAAAGCTGGTGCTACCATCAGGGGGTATCCAGTGAGGATACCTGGCTTTGCTTGGTACAAGATTTTCCTATGATGGTAAAAATGCACTGTTTCACGTAATTCCATATACTATATATCGGCCTGCATCTGAAATTTCTAGGAATTTCAGGCAGAAATGACCTGATTAGATAAAAGAAAAATAGCTGGTCTGGCCCATTTGGAGGTTCTTGTACCTGTTTCATTAGATAGGTCTGGTGTTTTTGTGCTTTGATGCAAGAGCTTGAACTCTTGTATTTTTTGCAGGTCGCATAAAGGGTGATGACAGGATAACTTTAAATGGGAATAAGTTTATCAAGCTGTGAAGAACAGCAGTTGGGGCCTACTCAGAGTCCCAAGTTACGGTAGCACCAGACACAGAGAAGAAAGACTGAACAAAAAGTCAGGATTGTCATAGAAGCCTGGAACGGCAGACCGAGAGGCTGCAGAGACCATCTGGATTGAAAATAGGCATGGGAGAAGTTGGAGGAAATTCAGAAAATTAAGATTGTATCTGTGATGTGGGAGGGAGAGGTGTCAGACTTGCTTTTTGTCTTTGAGGCCTCTGTAGTAGGCAGGGAAACTAGGAACGTTCCTGAGAAAGAGAAGCAGAATTAAATAAAACTAGGAATAGATGTGCAACCTGGCACAGCCAGAACACAGCCCTTACCTAACCTAGAGTACAGTTTTAAGGTTTTCCTTGTCTTGGCATTATTACACTGTATTTGAAAATACTTGAAACCAAGGAGCAACACTTTTTACTCCTAACAAGGGTGACGCGTTAGTGTTATGGATTATCTAAGTAAAACATGGCAAAATCGCTACTGGTTATTTGCATTTGGTATGGCCCTTGGGGGCAAGTTCTTGAAGAAGAATTGTGCTTGATTTGCATTTTGTGTTGATTTAAACATAAACAAGTAAAGGAGAGAGAGAAAAGACTTGCAATAAAGGAAAACTGCGGAATCTGAGAGGTATCTGCTTATCCATTTCAAGGAGAATATGTTCAGCTGAAGCTTCCCGGAGTAATCTGGTTAATAGAAGTTTTTAAACTTTTTTTTTTTTAAATTCATCTGTAAAGATTAGAGATCTCACCACCAGGACGGTGATGATACCACACCTATGGAGTGGCAATGCTGTCAGTATTTTTAGAGAACTCTTGTGGAGAGTGTGTAGTGCACAAGACAGCACTTCCTGTTTCCTCATCTCTCTATTGCACCTTTTGTGTGGAATCATGGGGATCATTTTCAGTCTGACTTGGTTCTGCAAACCAAAAACATTTAAATACTTTCTACCATTTTTATAATACTAAGAGAGCTTTGTTTATTTAGCTACAGGTTGCATTTAGCTACAGATTGCGTAATAGTTTTTTATTCAAAGTGTTTTTCTCCTTGTGCAGGTTTACTTTGATTATATGCGAAGCTGGATCCAAATGCTACAGCAGTTACCTCAAGCATCTCATAGTTTGAAAAATCTCTTAGAAGAAGAATGGAATTTCACCAAAGAAATAACTCCTTATATCAGAGGAGGTGAAGCTCAAGCTGGAAAACTATTCTGGTAGGGTTTATAAAACTACTCTGCTGATGTTGGTTTATACTGGGTATTTATGCAAGTCAGATTAACACCAATTATTTCAGAAATTCTGTTCTTTCAAGTACTTTTGTTCAGGATTCCCAGATTGGGCTTCTTGAGGCCCTAATAAACAAACAGTAGACTCTATGAGACTGTATTATGTCTAGAATGCTTTAGTTAAAAACTTGATGATATGGGTGCAATCATTTCAGTTTAAATATACCCTGAGTGTTGCCTAAATTTAAAACATGCACCATTGCAACCCATTTTCTCAGAAGTGTATGTTTTGTTTATTTAGAATAGGATAATTTATCTTTTATGACAAACTTTAAAATTATCATATCTAAAACTTTAGCTTTCAGTATAAGAAACACCCAGAAAGCAATTCATCAAGCAGATTGGTCAAAAGCCAGTCACCTCAGTAAACTGCCACATTGTTGTGTTTCATTATATGGTCACAATACTCATTAAACTTAGTGGGAATATCTGTTTTCTGAGTTCCCATAAAAGCTTTCTGGACTATTTGCTTCTGCATGTATTATGTATAATTTTATTCAGGTATTTTCTAATTGGGTAGTAAAATGAAGGCTTGCTAGTCTTCCTCCCCTAAAATACTCTGGTTACAGCATCTATTCAGAAACTTGAATAAATGCACTGGACCAAAAAAATTGTTTTTATTTCCTTCAAATAGAATGAAGTTGTTCAGTTTTCTAGTTCTTCGTGGCTTTGTACAAAATATTGCCTTAGATGTGCCAACTTAGATGTCAGAGCAAGTACCTCCTCTGCTTAATGCGAGGCTTTGCTGCTCTGCTCACCATATGTGAGAGAGAGTTCTGCTCTTGGGACGATTCCTAGAGAGGTAGAAATTATGCTATGTACTTCTGCTACCAACGAGTGCAGCTGCTCTCAATGCAGCTGTAACAGAAATGGCTGCTTTGATGGAAAGTCCCTGGTCCTGCTAGGGACAGAAGGTCCCCAAGATCCTGCTTGGGGCTTCTTCTGCAGATGGACTTCCCAGTCCCAGGGCTCTCTTGTGCGGGGCAGAGTAGGAAGAAGTCTGTGCTCCCTGAGTAGCACTGAACAGCTCTCTCCCATTTCTGTTGTTTCAGTGATATTGCAGGCATGTTGCTGAAATCTACAGGAATATTTTTAGACTCCGGGCTACAAGAGAGTTGTGATGAATTCTGGGCCAGTGCTGATGATAGTACTGCATCAGATGAAATCAGGTATTAAGCCTTTCAGATTTGCAATTTTATTTATTTATTTTAGTACCCCTGACAGGAACATACAGTATTTTAAGTCTGAGAATGAAGCTTGCATAAAGACTCTATTGATTGTCTTGATGATATTTCTATATGTGCATTTGAAGCCTGCTAAACTTCTTAGTTGGGAGTAGGAGAGGTTGTGTATGCATAGCTCTTTAAATTGAGTTTTCATACCTGTATCAAAAACATATAAGTTAAATGTAACTGCATAAGTTATATTTATAAATACAAAGTATAAGTTAAATTGACTTGTTAGTTGCCTGCATATATTTCTTTTCTATGCGCTGTTTTTTTTAATCTTTTAAAAAACTGCATTTTAAAATCTATAAAAACTATCTTTAAAAACTATAAAAACTTTATAAAAATACAATTTACTGAAACATGGTCACTTCATTCTTGTCAATGTTTTAGGAGGTCTGTCATAGAAACCAGCCGAGCACTAAAAGAACTCTTTCATGAAGCTAGAGAAAGGGCATCCAAAGCTCTTGGTTTTGCTAAAATGCTGAGGAAGGTAAGTTAACAGTAGAAACTAATCTAATTTATTGATTATTCTGATCCAATTTAATCTAATTTACTGATGTTCATGTTTTTGTGAACAGGATCTTGAAATAGCAGCAGAGTTTGTGTTGTCAGCCCCTGTGCGAGATTTCCTGAATGCTCTGAAAACGAAAGAGTATGTGAAGGTAAATCAGTTTCAAGGCATGTATTTTTTTTCACGGGGCACATATATCTCAACATTTTAAATGTCATTGCTTAATGCAATTCTTTTTTTTTTCTTCACACCTATGTTGTTTATGTGACTGCCAGTGCTGGCCTATGTCTTGGGAAATCAAGGTCCGAGATGTTGCATACGCACGGATTCCTTGTCGGTTAGGAAAAGCCTTTTGGTGTCGGTAGCAATTTCTCATGTGTGAGGTATGAAGAGTAGCACTTAGCAGGGAATATTATGAACGTAAACGCATTTGAGGCGCACAAGTGCTTCAGTAAATGAACAACATTTAAGTAGATGATCTCAGACTGTAGACTTGCTTTTATTTTCTTTTTTAAAGCAATAATGTTATACTAGAGCTCTGCTCTAGCTTGCTTGCATGAGAGTGCTAAGGAAATGCAGGGTAAGGTGTTTTTATCTGAGCAGGGAGATGTATTTCGTTCTGGAATCCTGTTGTTGAACATCAGTTTCACACACAGCAAAAATAGATTAAATTAGGGAACAAAAAAGCGCTAGTGTCCAGGACTTATAAATTCTTTCTTTTTTGATGCTCGGCTTTATTCTTTAGCTGTTCCTAGGTTGATAAGTCCTTATTGCAATTTGCAC